GGCACAGCTTCCCCGATATTTTGAGGTGAAAATGGGAGGAGGACGATTTAATGTTAATAAAATTCACAATTCATTTCAGTTCATGTCTCAGAATGTGTATTTTTGTTTGTAATTTCACAGCTGTAATACCATAACATGTTACTGAAGCTGGAAAGCGCCGCTTTTCTATCGCGAATGTGCCGAATCTGCTGATGTTACAATCGCTAAATGATAGAGAAGGGTAGGGGGAGGCCGAGGGAGAGCTGAGCTCTCGTGCCTCCGTTGGTAAAAAAAAAAAAAAAGGCCAATCAGCATCGAGTGTTCACTTTCAGCGCTGAGGAGTGTTGAGAAAAGAAACCTCGCAGAGGAGGCTAGCCTCCCTTCTGATATCAACCAAGCATCGTAGAGATGTAAATTACGTGATATTAGTTTGAACGTCTCCCACTGCGCTGATAATGTACCAAGTACTTATGAGTAGCGATATTGAATATTTAATTGCCAACAGATTTACCAAGCTGTCATTCAATTCAATTCAATTCAAGTTTTTTTGTATAGCGCTTTTCACGATACAAATCATTGCAAAGCAACTTTACAGCAAATTAAGTTTCTACAATATTTAGTGGTAGCTTATCAGTGGTGACTGTCAGTTAATGTACATCTGGCAGAAATGTACGGAAAAATCAATTAAAGACGTAATCAAACAGACGATGAACACTATTAACATCAATTATTATATGATGCAATCAAACTTATAGCAAAATGTGGTAGTTCATTCAAACAGTATATATACAAATTAAAAATAAAAGGAGAACACGTCTAAGCTGGATATAGTCTTGTTGGGAAAGTTGCTGTCACAGAGATTCAGAATGATAAGTCTTGGGTATGCGATGAATATAACTGCATCTCCTTTGTCACTGTACTTTGCTGCGCTGTTGCTGTGCTGTACCCTCACATCAATTGTTAACGTAATGAAGATTAATAACGCAGATTACCTGTAGTTCTGCTGAAGTACAATTGGGTCTGAGTCTCTACGGTAATGGCGGTCCACCTTATACCAGCTTGTGTTCTATCATGGCAATATTTGTTCATGTGTACATGCATGTACTGCAATGTCATGCTGATTCATATTTGCTTCCACTCACTATAGGGACACATTCTAATCTGCAGTGGCACTATAATGGCTCCGTGGGTGTCCAGAATAAGACCTTAACAAGCTGTCATCTTTCACTGAGAGGTGTGATAACAGCAAGTGCATTGTGCTTTGCTTTTGTGTTGTAAAAAAATTGTAGAAACTTTGCCCTAATTATCTGGTTTGACACTTTTTGCTTTGTGATTGAGGATGGAAATAAAAAAGTTATGTTAAAAATGTGCAGTGGCCATTAAAAGTATTTGGACATTTAAGCCTAGTTTATGAACGAAGTTTATGAATTGTATTAGATAACAAGATGTCAAACTAAGTGGCATCTGCAAACAAATGATGCTAGACCTTTTTTTGCAGAAATAACTTCTCATTTCTTACTATAAAAATGACTTTTAATCAGCTGGTTTCATGGTAATTTCACATTTTTCTGTCAGTTTAACTCAAGAGTTACCACAGGTGTAGTTCATTACATTAGCTATAAACATAATCCACTTAGTTTGACAACTAAACTTTGACACTCAAAAGAAAAGGCCCATTGTACCCTGTCAATATGAAGGAATTTTATCTATTGATGTTTCACAGGTGTTTTAAAAAACAGTGCATAGTGTGTTTTAGGCTTGAAGGAAATGTCTGTAAACTTAATGGAACGTGTACTGTTAATTTTCTACCAGGACATTATTCATTTCTCTGCAGATTGTTTTCTAACAGTGTACATTTTGTCCTCATTTGTGTCTGTGTCTATTATTTTATCATTTAAAACAACCACCAAACTTCATGTTTTTCTTAAAGTGTACATGTGCTATTTATTTTAATAAATGCCTCTTGGTTTTTCATCGAATGACATCCATATGTTTTTAAGTGTGCCTTTTAAGATGTTCAAACACTTTTTTTTTTAAACATGGTAAGTTAATGAAGAACAAAATAGATCTGCTGACATAAGAAATAAATGCAAATGTACTGAAAGCAACTCTGAAATATATAAGAATAAAGAGTGAACGGATAGATGACCCAGCTACAAATATAGCTTTAAGATTCTCTATAAACAAGGCTCGCTATAAATGATTTTTGCAGCATTGCTCAAAGCAGACTGGTGTAAACCTCCATTATTGACACTAGCTGCATTTTAAGAGTGTTAAGAATTTGATATAAATCTAATGGATATACAATACTGATCAGAAGTTTGGAGTTAGTAAGATTTTTAAAATAAAGGATTACTTTTATTTAGCAAGGATGCATTAAATTGATCAAATGTGACATTAATAATGCTACCAAAAATTCATTTCAAATAAATGCTGTTCTTTTGAACTTTCTATTCATCAAAGAATCCTGAAAAAATGTATTCCACATAAATGTCAAGCTGAAAATTAACACCACATGCAGAGATAATTTATATTTTAACATATATTAAAATAGAAAACAGTTATTGTACATTGTAATAATAATACACAATATAGCATAAGATACATTTTTCAAAAACACTTAAAAAATCTTACCGACCCCAAATTTTTTTACATTAATGTACAGTAAGTATATCAAAAATACTATAAAGATGCTTAGGCTTTCCAAATAATGGCACCGATTGGAAAAGAACCATTTCATGTAGACAATGTAATATACATTAGTTCTTTTCTGTTGCTCAGGAAGTTATAATGCATCTGATTGAGCCAAGCTGTTCAAGATATGTATGTCTTTTTGTAGGTGTGATTCTCTGGATTGGTCTATAGTGTACTTCATACGTGGGTGGGTCATAGTAGATGTTAAATGTCTGAAGCATTGCTAATAGTGCTGAGGACAGTCCAGTGAGGGTGTTTCCCCTCTCTCATCATTTTGGAGCACTCCAGGGACAGATTACACTAACACTCTTGCCCACCTGCATGCTGTAAATCTATTCCTCCCCAGCAAATCATCTTCTGCACTGACCACTGAGATTTACATCCTGGCCTGCCAACACACAGTCTATGAGATGGCAGTGCAAGATGGGCTCTGAGAGGCGGCACCTGGTTGATGGATACAACCGTGTAGTTTGGTGGATAAGTGTTATTTACTGTTGCAGTTAATTGCTTTTGTCATAGTATGAGCGTGAGATCTGTGTGAGACTGAACTGAGAACAGGAGGAATAGAGATGTTTCACATTTAAGTGGCACAGTCCTCTTCTACTTAAAACTTATCATAGATCTACACCTAATTCTGCAAATGAGCTGGCTGTAATCAACAATTTAACTGTATGTTCTACTATTTAAGTGTGTTGTTTATCCAGTGATCATTTTGCCTGTTCATAAACGGTAGGATTTATTTTGTGACACACAGGCAAATGTTTCATTCTTCAGGGTTCAATTCTGCTAGCGTACTATCAGTTTATTAGCTGAACCGAATCAAACCGCATTGCTATTCCAAAGAATTTGACCTCTGTCTGCTATATCTGTGTAACTGAGAGTTCAAATGAATCACAAATTACAAATGACTGATTACCATGTGAATTTTGTGGTGCCAATGACACACAGGGGCACTACAAAAGAAGCTATTAGGAAATATTCTACATGGAAATGTTCATCAGGCCCCACTTAGATGGTTCTCATGAAACACTTTTTGGTCCAAGAGATTCCTGCACATTAAGGTTGTAGGCCTTGAGCCTTTCGGGTCATTTGACAGACAAACCTTAAGGGTAAACTGACAGACAAAATTAAAGAGCAGATGTTAAGGATACGCTCACAGATGTGGTCAAAGTCACTCATCTTGCCTTAGTCAATATATGGCTATGAGAACTCATGCTGTCATAATGATGATCAAGGTCAACATCCAGTCTCCCCTGTCTATATGCCTTGTAGTTTAACTCATTTGACTGTATATAATGCTACATAGATTTTCATCCATAGATCTTTCTGTGCTTTAGATGCAGCAAAGGACGTGTACAGATAGCATATGGCCGTGTGCCTCAGAGACGCAGGCCATCTTCTATGCCTCCTCTGAGCCCTGGTGAGGATGAGGATTTGTTATGCTCTGTGACCTCACAAGGTGACATTGCTAGGCCAAAGTCAGCAGTCAGTGCAGCCACTGAGGCATGACAGGAAATCAACAGTCTGTGTACGTTGACCTGACATATAGAGAGCCTTTCTGAACATGGTGCATATGAGTAGCAATTTTCCCCAGGTGTTACCTAGTGGAAGTCCCAGTAGTGCACACATGCATTTATCTGCTTTTACATCCAACTTTCCCCTGCGGTAAAATCTATCTTAAAGGGATAGTTAACCTCAATGTAACTTTTGTCATCATTTACTCATCCATTCTTAAAAATAATGGTTCTAAAAGGGAGTTTTCACAACGATGCCCTAGATTAGGCATTTGGAATGACTTGAGGGTGAGCATATGATGACAACATTTTTATTTTTGGTTGAACCCAAAAAAGCTGATAGTCCTGGTAGATGGTTTCTAACTGGTCTAAGCTGGTCATGAGCTGGTCCAAGTTGGTCATTAGCAGCAGCAAGAATATATAAAACAAGCTAATATGTGTTCCTACTATAGATTAATGTGTTCAACCGGTTTTTAGAACATGGCCGTCTTAGACCAACGAGAAACCAGTTAACTAGTTCTGTCTTATTACAACACATCCTACTATAAGAGATAGCATTGTGTTTGGACTATCTGGCAAAGTAGACCCTGTTTAACATCTTTACGCATCAGTTTTAGTATTGTGCGCCGCTGTCGCTGTCCGTGGTTCTGAATGCGGAGCCGCTAAACCACCATGAGAGCAGCAGGCCTAAGATGCGTTTCCGTAACAACCGACAGGAACACGTGTGCACATGCTGAGATGGACCCTCTAATGCAAATGGGGGACCGCTAAACGTCACCGGGTGGATGAAAGAGAGCACGAGAACCGTCTTACCTTCCAAGCAACATGTCCTCCACAGTCCCGAATGGGTCATCACCTCTTCGTTCTTCTTGCTGGTCTCGTTCTCGTTGTTGCTTTTGATCTTACACACGCCGCGCGAGTACAGCCAGTAGTCCGTCCCCACCGCGATGGTCATGAGACTGAAGGCGGCGAACGCGCCCACCGTGGTCAATAACATCTGAACTCCGCGGTCAAACACACCCATGTTTCCGCATTCCATGAAAGGGGGACCCCCTTTCCTCTTTATGTATAGGAAATAAATATTTGAAAATTTACGGGACCAAACCAAATTTAAAAAATGGGATATATTTGAGCGAAAGGAGGGGAAAGGGGGAGGATGCGGTAGGAACCTTATGGTTGCGTTTGGGTGAGAACCGATTAAGGAAGAAATAGGTGAGCCTTTCTGGCTTTTTCGGAGTGGAACGGTACGCTTTCCGCACTGTTCCAACAAAGAGCAATTTTACCGTCCTAAATCGTTTGTCATTGTCTTTTTTTTCTAAACGAGGTAAGATATGCAGCAGCTAGTGCTACGGCTTAAACTTACACGAGCATTCACGCTGCAAAGCCACTAATTAAAGATAATAATTAATTGCCGAGGCCTTTAATAATGGCCTGAGCATGTCATTCAAACGCCACAGCAATTAAGCCAATGTTGAACAATACTCGGTTTTAATTATGACAATTTAGGCGCTTAGATTTGATGTGTTAGGAATTGAGGATAAATACTGGTTTAGGAAGAATGTGGGATTCAGACTGGCTTTGATGGAATAATGGAAGGCTTTGCTTCGGATCGTAATATATATCTAAACAATTCGATGTGTTACAACAACTGTTGACCTACGTAGCTGCTTTACAAACACGCTGTCCTCTCTTAATATGGCTAAGAAAATCCTAGTCTATTCTAATCAAGAGGGAAAGACGCAGAGAGAGAGAAACAGAAAGGACAGGAAAAGCTCTATTGAAGTGCAGGAGCAGAAAAAATATATAGGATAGATGGATGGATGGCCAGGATAGTCCAGTTCAAAACCAACAAAAAGAATGTCCGGGTGAATCTAAATCTGCTGCTGCCGCTCTCGCGTCAGTTTTACAAATCAAGTCAACAATGGAATGAGAAAAATCATCGAGAATGAAACATAAATGAGCAAAATGGAATAATAAAATAAAGCACTACTATATATCCTTTTTCCTAAAATTCTGATCCCCAGCCGGACCTCCCCGCCACTGATGCTCGCTTATCCAAATCCGCGTTGGCTTTCTCGCACCCAGACCCGTCCCGCTTGCAGAGCCCTTGCGCCATGTAAAAGACAAAAAGACCTGATAATGAGGAACGTGGTGTGCTGGGAAAGGAGGATACGGGTCTGCTTCTGTCCCCTTTGCTTGTGTGCTAGTGAAGATTTGGGAGAGGGATGTAGGCAGGCGTGCTGTGGCTCAGAAAGAGGGAGGGAGAGAGAGAACGAGAGAGAGGGAGCGAGAGAGAAAATTATACAACAGAGAAGGGATGTGCGGCGACAGAAAAGGGTGCAGTTAAAAACTCTTATTTAGACGGAGCGAAGCATACGGATATGAACTCAGTCTCGAATTAATATAGTGGATTGAAACGATGCTTACATGCGAGAGAGAGAGAGAGAAGGGATGTGCGGCGACAGAAAAAGGTGCAGAAAAAAAAGGGATGTGCGGCGACAGAAAAAGGTGCAGAAAAAAACATGGATATGAACTCACGTTCTCGAACGAATATAGTGGATGTGAATCGATGCATGCTTTCATGCTGACTAAAGGTGCTGGGTTGTTTCAGACTACATGTTATGTGGATTATGTAATCAAGTTTTTTTTATTTTATTTTTTTTATTTTACAAAAATCAAGTTCTTTTCATTATAATAGGCCACGTTACATTTTAAGTTACAGGAAATCTACACATCACGTTGCTAATCGTCGACTATCGTTGACGTTTTTAAGTTGACGTTTTAAAACGTTTTAAAAACACATTTTTGTATTTGTAAATAATATTGAATAAATTAAATAAATAGATTAATTCATGTTAAAAAATAAACAATGATAGGACCTCTATTTTGTATGATAGCCTACTAATCTTAACGAAAAGCGTACTGTTGCTATGGTTACCACCTCAGACGAGACAAGTTCTGTTCGAGAGCTTCAGCGCACTCTTTTAGCATATTGCATTTTAACGTATTTGCCCCTTTAATGCAGTTCACACAATTATTATTATAAGCCCTTTCTTTCTTTCTTTCTTTCTTTCTTTCTGATGCAATCGCCTCCTGCACCTCTAGCAATATATTTTTATTGGCTTATTTGCTATTCATGTTGATGTATGCTCTTAATATGTCCTTATTCATCGTCCTATTGTCCACTTCATAAAGCATACATGTCTCTCCTGTCATCAGTTAAATGGTTAAATTAATTATCTGATGAAAATAATATACAATATCGATATAGCTTAGTCTAATAAAAACAAAAGTGAGAAAAGGGCCTATTCCCTAATATGCACCTACTCCAGTGCAAAGGCGTGCAAAACCACATAAAACAGCACGTTACCGTCCTAGAGCCTCCTTTAGAGCCCTTTTAAGTTTCATGCATACAGCAACCGACTCTACCACCCCCTTCTCCTGACCAAAGGACATGCTTAAAATTCTAGTCTGGTACAGTGCTGGACCACTCTGGATTCAAAGCGCAGACGACAGATGAGGAGAGCACACCGACAGATACAGAGAGGAAGGGGATGGGAATATATAGGGTAGTAGATTTACTGAAGCATGGAATTGGTGATTTCAGATTTGTAGAGAAAAAATATAGCATATAGGACATTTATTTGTGTTCACAATAATAATAATAAAAACCTGCATATTAATGCATCCAAAGCTATGATTATCAATGGGGGCAGAAGGATGGTAAAATGGGTAAAACTATAAAGTAGATCATACAGTAGACACTAACTTATGCCAACACCATAATATGCACAGATTAATGTAGGGGGCAAACATGATAGAGGTAGTGTTAGAGCATGAGAAGGTGGTGCAGACTGGCTGGTCTCCATCATTAGTCTCTGTATGTTTGCCGACTCTGTTCCTGCACACTAATCCAGCCTCTATTAGCTGTGTCATGATCACTGGAACGAACAACGAGCAAACAGGAGTTCTGGCTTTGGCCACTGAGCCTGAGTATGTGATCTACTGTGAACCAGTAGGGAATGATTAAATGGACATAAGTGAATGGGTATTTTAGAGACAGAAGTGTGTAATTAATGCTGGAGTGTATTGGTGTGTAGTGTCAATGTATGATATAAAATCCCAGCCATGTTAATGCTGCAGAAAGTGGAAATATATAGGCAACTGAGTATATTTACTGTGAAATATTACCTGAGCTACCGCTGTGCCTATTATCAGTTTACGGCTAACGTTTTAAGGTGCATGGAGTTTATTATCAGAGGTTTTAAAGTGATACTGAAATTCAGCGCAGCTCCATTATCCCTG